ATATTTTTATATTTATTATTTAATTTATATTTATATTATATAAAAATAATTATTATTATTATATTAATTAATATATTATAAATTATGTATAATATACTTTTGATTTTCATAATAAATTAGTATAATTATTTATATTTTTCATAATGATTAGTTTTATAAGAAAGATCAAAATTAAATTATATATATTTATTATATAATTTAAATTATTATTATATATAATATTAATATATTAGTTATAAGAAATATAAAGATAATTCTATTATAATAAAGATATTTATTTTTTAATACAATAGAATTTTTAGAATAATAAGATATTTATATTAACTAGAAATTATATTATTATATTTAATTTTTCAGATTAGAATAAAATATTAAATAAATATATATATAGTCAGAAAAAAATATATTATTTTATTAATAAATATATAAAATATTATAATTACTTAATCTGTTATTAAAAAATTATTAATTTTTATTTATACTTTTAAATTAATAATTTTTCTATATAAATTCTTTTTTATATTAAGTTATCTTTCTTTTATATAATAAATAATATTAATTTATTAATTAATTTAATAGCTTCAGTAGTTATTATTTTAAATTTGTTTAAGTCTGTATTTTTCTTAATAACTTTTTTATCTTGAACTAAGACAAGAATTTACTTTGTATTATAGAATTAATACTAATATACTTGTTTACTAAAAATGAATTATCTGATATAAATTGATTAATTAGATTTTAAATAATATTATAACTATACTTATTATTTAATAAAAAGTTAAAAGAATTATTAATATTATTTATAACTGGATTTGCTAGTAATATATCTATTTTTATCTAGCATAATATAATTAAATCTGCTTAAATATATTTTTAGGCTTCTCCTATAAAGTAAATTACATTTAAAATTATAAGATTAGATATTAAAATATCTAACTTAATAAATATATTATAGATATTTATTCTATTTTTATAAAGCAATTGCTAATATTTTGTCTAATAAAAAATGATTAGCATATTAATATAAAATTTAATATCAGAATTACTTATCTTAAATAAATATATGATTTTTATATTATATAGTTATAGATAAGCTATTATATTTTTTAGAAAATATTATAATATAATATTAAAATATGTGATTTTATTTTTCATTATATATATAGTAACATTATCTAATAAGAGTAAAATTTAATATTATTTCTTTTATATATTTTCATTTAGCTTGATAAGTAAATAGCTAAAAATTTCTAATTATATCTATATACTTGAGTTCTAATAATAATAAATAGATAGGTTTTTATGATCAATATTTTGCATATATCTTGAATTTCTATATTTATGAATAAAAACTGATATAAGCTTTCAGATTCCTATTATATTATAAATAAGTAGAATTATAATAAGATCTTTAGAATTTTTTATTTCAAAAACTAGATAGTAAATAAGTATTTTCGAGAGTTTCAATTTTAATAGAGTACTATTTTATTATAATTAAAAATATTTTCCAAATCTTATATAGATAAAAGTTGCAAAGATTATGATAATATTGTGAAAAATCTTCTAAAGAAGCTAAGTTCATCACTTCATATCAAATATATTCATAAATATTATAGCATTTTTTAAAGTAATCAAATCATTTATATGAGTCTTTAAATTCTTAATTTCAAGATATTTAGCAAAGGTAATAACTTTTTTAATAATAGTATGTTTAGATAATATTTGATTATTACTTGTGGCTTGATTAATTCAAATAGCCAATGCTTATTCAATTATTAGGAATTTTAATAATTTTTCACAGTACAAGAATATAATACAATTATTGAATTCTAATACTAAAAAATATTATTTCTTCTTTAAGATATCAGATATTGTTAATTCACCCATACTATATTGCAAAGCTAATTGATTATTCTTTATATTTCTTTTGCATGGCATATCTCAATTTTTTGACTAACAATCAAGCATATTCATTTTCTTTTAGTATCTGATTTAGCTTTTGCTTTGAAGAACCAGCAAAAATACTTTGATCCTCCTATGATTACTTTGAAAAAGCAGAATTATTACTTTTATAATTAGTCTTCATGTATGTCAGCAAATATCATAAAAGTATTATATACATTTATAAGCTGTATTTTTATTGGCCAAAAAAATTTTTCTTCAGTTAACAAAAGGAATAATTGAAAACTTTGGATAAATGAGATAAATTTATTAGTACTGTTCTAATAAAAATCTTTGGATATGGTTAACAAAGATTTTTATATTAAAATTCGGTTAACCAAGATAAATTCTATATGATTGAAAATGGATTTTAAAAAATCTTTATTATAACGAGATATTTGGTATAATAGGATTTATTATAATGGGGTTGCCTTTGTATTATGTTTTTCATATTATAATATGTGCATAAATATATATAGTAAAATTTTGTAAGAAATATTTTTTTGTAAATAATTTCATAAACAAAATTAACATTTACATAAAGTTTATATAATAAACTATAAAATATACAAAACAAAACATGTTTTCTCACAAGATTTTGAAGTTATGAACTGGGAATTGAATGCGAGAATTTATAATTAATATGTATGCAATATATTATTAGAAAATGGTAATAAGATTAAAGGATACAATATTGAGAATAAAAATGTATTATCAATTTTGATCATTAATGCAATCTTTGTTAAAATTATCTGACCAATTTCTTAAATGGAGAGTAATATAGCATACTCAAGATTTTTCTTAAACTTTTTAAATTTGTCTTCATTAACTTTATGTATTTACTAAGTTCTAGGCAGTATCTTTTTAATCATAGGTTATATATAATCACTTTAATTTATATTATACAAATAAAATAATTGACATTAGAAAACTTTAAACTTGAATAGTTCCTTGTAGATTTAATTTATTCTATATAATAATATTTTTATGATTACAAATATAATTTGAGCTCCTGAATATGAAATACCTCTCAAATTTGTTTAAATTCAGCAATCTAGTCATAAAATTCCAAAAGCTTTTCTTAATCGGACAATTTCTACTTCGTAGATTTTGAGGCGAGAAGTCTCACTTGAGCCAGGTTTATTGGTTGCTACTTGCCGTGGTTGGAAAGCATTAAATCCAAGTTCATTGGAAGTCTGCTTGTTGGCTGGTAAACATTAAATACGGATTCGATGGTTGCTGTTTGTTTGGTTGAAAAACATTAAATCTGGATTCAATGAATGCTGTTTGTTGTGCTTGGAAAACATTGAATCCATTCGTTGATTGCTGCTTGTGGTTGGAAAGTTTGACATAATAAAGCTCAGGTTCTTTGCCTTTGATTCTCACTGCTGCTGTTTTTATCCTTTTAACATCTCCCTCTGATTGTTGGCATGGTTGAGAGTGTTAAATCCGGATACACTGGTTACTGCTTGTTGTGATTGGAATGTATTAAATCCTTGGAATGTATTGAATATGGTTTTGTTTGTTGCAGATCTATATATACTGTACGTGTATAAAAGCATATTTCTCATTGGGCCAATGTAATTGTTTTTTTGTAATTCGTGCCAATTAATATGTCATAGATCGTGAAAAAAATTAATGCATTTTCATAATGATCGTATTATGCGCTAGTTTCGAGTTTCGTAAACAGTGAATGTTGTTGCATAACAACTTAACGACTTCTTGGACGGACGCGACGACGCTATTGCTTCTTGTGCATTCTTGGAACGGTATGTTGTGTTAACTGCGTGACTTCTTCGTAGAGCGGTGGTTGTGTTTAACTTGCTTGATTTTAGAACGGTTTAGAACGGAGGGTAAAGCTTGTCTTGT